TTTGGAGACAAGATCTCATTGTGTTGTCCAGGGTGGAGTGCAGTGGTGCAATTATGGTTCACTGCAGCCTCGACCTTCTGGGCTCAAGGGATCCTCCCACCTCAGCCTCCCAAGTAGCTGGGGGTACAGATGCAGGCTGCCATGTCTGGCAAATTTTTGTATTTTTTGTAGAGATGGAGTTTTGCCATGTTGCCTAGGCTGGTCTTGAACTTTTGGGCTCAAGTGATCTGCCTGCATTGGCCTCCTAAAGTATTGGGATTACAGGCATGAGCCACCACACTTGGCCAGGTTTCTTTATTGAAAACTTGACTCCTACAGTTTAAGTACTCAAAATTTTCATGTTAGTTGTCCAAGTTGGAATTGGAATTTGAGGGACAGGGGTTAGAGGAGGGATAGGAAATGGAAAGAGTTACTCAGACATATTAAGAGAGAGTTTGTTGACTGGATCTGGTAGGAGCAGGCAGATGCTTTAGAAAGAGTTCCCGTGTGCGAGTAAGTGGTTTCCATGTCTTTTCTCCAGGCAGTGCTGGCCTTGGCGGCATCTTGGACATCTCGACAAGTGGGTGAACGTACGTTAACGGGGATAGTCATTGACAGCGGAGATGGAGTCACCCATGTTATCCCAGTGGTAAGCAGGATAGTTAATATGTAACTCTCTATAGGCTTAACACCTGATTTGAGGTAAGGATGGAAATAATTTAAAAAAAAACAAAAAAACCTTCTATAATGAAAATACATTTTAGATGATAGTTTTACTTAGAAAAGGTAATAAAAGTTTTAAAAACCCAACTGTGTGGGAAAGAATGAAAAAAATGGCCAATATTTCTGGCTTGAGCAATTTTAAATTCACGGTGGCATATTTCTACTGTCAGAATGTCAGAGAATGTCCAGGATGTCTCTGGATCTTCAGAGCCTCTGCTTGATCCCTGTGGGTGTAACATCAACAAGAACGTTTTCCTGGCTTATGATTCTGCCATGCTGGGAGATAGACGCCATTTTGGATGTCCCGTTTGGTGCAGTGCGTGGCCATTTGAAGTAGCACATCTGTGTCTGCGAAGAGATGGGAATGGCTTTAACCAGCTCAGGCTTGGAAAAATTGCTTCTTGTTTTAAACATTTATTTAAAAACCAAGCAGGGGAGGGTGTACATTTTGGCTTGCAGAAGGCTCTGCAATACCAGTTTTTGGTTTTAATTTTCAAAATATTAGAGAAGTGATTACTAATTTGGGTTTCAAGAGATCTCTGAATTTTTCTTTTGGTCCAATGGACTATTTAAAGGAATTATTTAAAATTCATTTGTTTGGAAAATGTATCAGAGCTATCTGAAGATGGTGTTCAGAGAAAAGTCAGACTCATCCTGTCTTCCTCCTGTGAGGTCTCCTCCTCAGGAACCACCATTGCTAATTACTTCTGTATGTTACAGATATGTTTCTGCATATGCTTATGGGTATGTGTATGTGTATATATTTGCATATACACACAGCTCTTTTAAATACAAATTAGGATTTTAAAAAAACCATTTACTTTAGTTGGAAAAATAGTCACCATTTCATTTTGAGAAGGTGATGGGATGCTGTACTAATATACTCATGCTTTAATTCCTGAAAGGTTAGGAATCATTGCAGTGGACAGGCTTAATGATCATTGTGTCTATGGTCAGGGAGAAAAAAGCCAACCTCCCGTCCCCATAGCTTGTGCTCCTGCCCGTGTGCCCTTCCCGTGGGAGGAGAGGTGTATACCCTGCCCTGTGAAGTGTGCGCTTGACTTGAGCCCCCTTGAAGCCAGTCTCAGCACTTCTTTCCATGGGACTCGGGAAGAGTCAGTGCCTGGGTGTGGAGCACTCACCACGAACTCAGGCCGCCGGCTTCCTCAGAGAGCAGGGCTCTGAGATCCAAGATGAGGCTCCTGTGGGCCCCTGGCCTGTGCCCCCTTTGGTTCTTTGCCTATTTCTTATGTCTGACTTAGGAAAAAAATATATTTCACAGTGTGTCCAGGCCTACCAAGAAAGTTGTTTGAAAAGATTTTTAATTGTATCTTAGTTCAGTTTTTCCCTCAGTTATAAATATTACATTTGTCATTAAAAATTTGGACAAAATAGAAACATTTGAAGAAATAAAATTACCCCTAAGCCCATCCAGAAACCCATATTATACTTTTAGTTCTATAGTCTTTAAGCTCTTTTTGTAAGACAGGTGTGTGCACATGCATAGACACACATTTTAAACACAATTGGAATGCCTCATGTCTCATTTGGGATTCTAACAGAATACAATCCTAAAGTTATATTTTGCATATTAATTTAACCCTAATTTTTTTCTCTCGTGGTTAAATATTCCGTGAAAATATGTTTAGGAGGTACATAATTTATTTTTCTGTTGTTGGACATGTATCTTGTTTTAGTATTTTTACTACTGTCATGAGCTGATATTTCACAGTATTTTAGAAAATACTACATGTAATGCATAGAATATTGTAACTGTGAATAGTTTATGTGTTAGAAAGCTAATGTTATGGGTTTGATTTTTAATTGTACATCTCTTTTATCTCCATCTTAAAATGCTTTGCGAATACTTGGACTCTGCAGAAAGGCTGTCTTTTTTTGCTTCTAGAAGTTAGGTACATCAGAAAAAAGCATAGAAGGAATTCAGTAAGTTGTCCTTGCAACTTAACTGGTGACTATATGCCATTATTAGAATGAATACATCTGTAAAATGAAGTCAGCATTTCACTTCTGTGTGCCTTCTGTCTCAGTTGGGGATTATGGCACAGAAGCTGTGATGGGCTATAATGTGAAACCTGGGTGTCTCTTTACTCGATGATCCAGTGGTAGGCATTGTCCACTCTTGACGGTCAGCATCCTGCTCATCCCCTGTACTACAAGCTAGATGTGTGTCCAAGCCTGTGGCTCCTGTGGCAGGTCTGTGCCCACAGGAGGGCTGATGGGGGAGCTTTGGGCCTATTTTTGCTGTGGGCCTGCGGACACTTGACACCGGCCCTGCCATTGATTGGCCCAGGTGGTGGTCACCCTCCTTTCCTGACCCCTCACATACATGCCTTCACTGGCTCAGGGAGGCAGTGGAGTGAGAGGCTCTGAACCCCAAAACCAGTGCTATGTGCTAGACACACAATTTTACCTGAACTGTATTACTGGCCCCTGCAGGGTATTGTTTGCCTCATATTGTGGACAAACGTGTTGAGGCTGAAGCGTGTGAAACTTGCAGATGTGCAGCCAGGATTTGAATCCAGGTTGTTAGAATCTAAGCCCTGTGTGTTAACCAAATTGCTGACTTTTAAACATAAGTAGATTTATAGTTGGCTTAACAATTTATAGAAATAAAACTTCCTTTTTGTTAGGGAAAAATCCTATTGGGTTTACTGTTCTCACAGACAGTGTTACTTTTTGGAAGTGAAATATCCTATGTGGTTTTTATTTTCATATTCCTAATGAGCATATCATTTTGGTTGCTTTTGGAGAGTGTCAGGTTATTGGAATAATCTAGAAATTTGAATATTAATGGAATTGCATACCCAGTCATTTTGAAAGACCTCCTGTACTGAGCTTGTAGAGAGTGGGGATTCCATACATGCTTGTTAGTGCTGTGAGGGGCAGACAGGGAGGCTGAGACAGGAAACCTCATGCGTCCAGGCTGCTCTCCACCACGGAATCACTAATATAGCTGTTCTGCCTCCTCTTCTTCCCTAGGCAGAAGGTTATGTTATTGGAAGCTGCATCAAACACATCCCGATTGCAGGTAGAGATATTACGTATTTCATTCAACAGCTGCTAAGGGAGAGGGAGGTGGGAATCCCTCCTGAGCAGTCACTGGAGACCGCAAAAGCCATTAAGGTAAAAACAGACGGGAAACCGGCTGGTTTGGGGGTGAGAGACATGGTGTTCTGGACACTTCCCCTTGGTGCCATCGTCCCTGCTCCTCCTCTCCTTCCTTTCCCCTTCCCATGAGTGTGGGGCTTGATTTGTTTTACCCCTTGAGTTAAGTGGGCTGAAGATGTAAAGCTTAACCTCTTCCAAATTGATGCTCTGAGGTTTCCAGCTGTCACCGAGCACAGCTTGGTAGGTGGTGCAGCGTGCCAGTGTGCAGAGGCAGCATCTTCAACTGGAGCCTCGCTGCCAGAGCCCTCAGCTACCAGAGCGCTCCTCCCACACCGCCTCCATGCTTTGCTCTAGAATTAGGAGGCAACCACAGCAGCAGAACACTGCCACCCTAGGCTCCAGAGCTGTTACACAAAATTCACATAGGTGTGGGTGTGATGCCTGGCCATACTGCATACTTTCTGAGTGTAGCGGAGCTTTTTGGGGGTGAGCCTGACACCCACCCTTCTCCTCACTGCCTTCCTCCCATCTCAGCACCTCATAACTGAGGCTGGTTGAAGGAAAGGAAGCATCAGAGATGATTCCCGAGGTGTTTTTAGGCCAGGAGGCACTGGCATGGGGGAGGCTCTGCAGTCGGGTACCACCCGCCCTGCTTTACCTGTGACCAGAGATTCCTGGGAATGGGCTCTCAATGCTGAAAAGGTGATGTTGGGGAAGATGTGGTCCCTTCGGAGGAAGCTTTCCTGAGGCAGCATTAAACATTCTTTTTTAGACTAAAATATCTTCTAAGGGATTACCTTCTCCTTTCTTTGCCTTTCCTCAATGGTAGAACATTTGGCTATTTGAAGCTCCCTTGCCACTTCAAATATGTTAGAAATGTAAGTCAGAATTGAGCCCCTTCATAGTGGCTCACACCTATAATCCTAGCACTTTGGCAGGCAGAGGCAGGAGGATTGCTTGGAGCCAGAAGTTCAAGACCAGCCCAGGCAACATAGCAAGATCTTGTCTCTATTTCAAAAAAGAAAAAAAGAAAAAAAAAAAGGAAATAATTGAGCCTCTTGTTATTGATGCCCTCAATGAGTCTGAGTCCTCCCTATTTCTGCCAGGAATGCTGAGCGGCCCTCATGCTGGGCCTTACCTCTCCTCATGGGCTGTCTGGGTTCCCATTTGGATCCTTAAATCTGAGCTGGTGTGCTCGATGTGACTGTGTGTCACCCCCCTGTGAGGGCTGGAGTAAAAGAGACTCTGCTTATAGCCTCCAAATCAGCTGCCCTGTCCCTGCTGTGTGGGGTAGTCCTGTTCTTGCCTCATTTCTCTCTTTAAAGGAACAGATCCTGAAAGGCATGGTTTAGAGTCCCCCTGCTTCCCCTTACTGCATGGCCTTCTGTGGTTGTGAGCAGGCCTGAGGGAGTATGTAACGTGAACATACCACCCTTGCGGCATGAATCCTGAACCTTAAGATTAAGCCTGCTACTCTGTACCCACCTTTATGGAAGCATTTCAAGAGAAGCATTTCAGTTAAGTAAATTGAGATGCCGTAGGATGTTGACCAGGCCTCTGCGGACAGCTGAATGCTTTTGTCTCCAGTCTTGGTAGATTTGAGGTTGTCATCAGCAGCTGACTCTGTCTCTCTGTGTCATCAGGGAACACAGGGTTGTGCAACACTTACTGCCTATCGTTCTTCTTAAAATTCTGCTAGAGTATATCAAAGATACCCAGAATATGTTTCAGGGATGCTAGGAAACTTTAAACTTAATACCTCAAGAACGTCTTCGGAGATCCTTGAGAGAGCCATTCCTTCCAGTGTGTCGAGTGCCAGCTGGGCAGCCCGCCTGGTTCTTCCTATAGGCAGTGTACTTTCAGCATCTAGTACCTGGGAGTCACCTGCTGCTTTGCTGAGGTCAGCTTTAAGGACACATGATCAACACAGAGGTGTCCAAGAGCATCAGCCACACCAGCAGACATTTTACATACCTCAGGCTGCCTGTCGCTAAGATCCATAAGTGAGTTCTCTCGCAGCAGCACGGCTTCAGGCCTCCTGCCTGACTTTGCTTTTCCTTTGTTACCCGGAACCTATCACTTTATAAACTACCATGTCATTTACTTGTTATGGTTGCGTATTGTTGTCTGACTCCCAGCTAGAGTGTAATCTCGGCAGGGATCTGTGTCTGTTTCAGTCACTTGTGTATCTGAAGTGCCTAGACAATAAATATGTGTTGATTGAGGGACTTAGAATACCCCATCAACAAGGTACATTATCTCTACCTTAGAGAGATAGTAGTGTCAGGGGAGCCAATGACAGTGTTGCGGCCAACTCCACACCAGATTAACAAACAGCAGGTTGACAGTGGCCACCTGGCTTGTGGCCTGCTGGGACCCAAAGAAGCTGCTGCAGTCAGGCGTGAGGGTGTAGACGGTGCTGCACTCGGTAGATGAGGCGGTAGGACGGATCTGCTGGTCCAGTGTGGACAACAGAGAGGTGCCAGGGCAGGCCTTAGGGGGCACCTGAGAGGAACAAGGCAAGACAGGGTGCTTGTAGACACCTGTAGATGTCATTTCAGATAGGATCGCAGTAAAATTGGATAGACCAAGGCTGAGATTAATAGCTGAGTTGCCAAGAAAGCAGACTTAACTGTTCAAAGTCCAAGTGTACTCATGTGGAATGTGAGGCTTGACGGCACATCCACACTAGAGTTGCAGTGGGGGCCCGATCTGATTCCAGGGGTGTGCTTACTGCCTGGGGTTCCTGGTTATTTGTCTGAGGGCAGAGACACTGGGCAGTTGTTAATGCCTGGCAACGTCTTTGTGTGTGTATGCAGGAGAAATACTGTTACATTTGCCCCGATATAGTCAAGGAATTTGCCAAATATGATGTGGATCCCCGGAAGTGGATCAAACAGTACACGGGCATTAATGCGATCAACCAGAAGAAGTTCGTTATAGACGTTGGTTATGAAAGGTTCCTGGGACCTGAAATATTCTTTCATCCAGAGGTAAGATGTTTCTTTTTTGTGTGCTGAAGCGTGTGGATGGAGCGATACTGCCACCCAGAGTGCAGAAAGAGTGGTTCCCAGGAAAGGGCCGGTGAGCAGGGTGGCTGCTATTCGGTCTTCTCCCTGTGTCCCCCGCGCAGTTTGTCTGCTTGACAGATTGTTCAATTGCCTCTTCATAGACTTGGTTATCTGCTTTAATAGTAAAGGATGGGTTATACCACGTATAGGAAGACGTTCAGGAGCAATAGAAGATAGAATTGAAAGTAATTTCCAAAGGTTGTGGGTGGTCACATGCTAGTATTACAAGTAGCTAATCTCAAGGACTATGTGGAGGTTGCCTGTGCATAAGAGTGGGATAATCTGTAACCTTTTTATCTTTGGTGATTGCCCTTCCTAACTTCTAATTTTAACCCTGGACAGTGGGTCCTGCTCTGTTCCCTGCTGCAGGTTAGGTAAAGCTTCTGTCTAAGGCCAGCATTTCTGTTATTTAGATAATCTTAAGAATTAGAAATGTTATTTTAACTAGCAGTCATAAGGAATTATTAGTACTTTTGCAGAAAGCAGTAATTAAGAGGCACATTTTAAGATTTACATATGATGCATTTTATTTATATTTTGGTATATTTTCCTGGCTAATTCAGTTTATATTCAGAAGGTGGGTTATAAACTGCTTCTTATTTTTAGATGTGTATGTCACTATTTTGTACAGAGAAACAGCACAGAATGTATACCTCACTAGTAATCTGATGAATAAAATAATAACAGTGATAATCTAGTGAATGCTCACTTTTAATAGTATTGATTTGAAATGTGTCAAATGTCCAGAGAACAGCTGGTGAGCACCTGAACGTCTTCCTCCTTCCTCTGAGATGATACTTGAAGTTTTCCTTGATTTTTAAAATATTTCAGAGGAAATGTAATTGAGCTGAATTAGTTATACTTTAGCTTATTTAACTTATGGAACTGAATCTAAGGCTGTGTATTCAATAACATGATTATCATGTGGCTTGTTTCATTTTAAACAAACACTTCTCATTGAACAAAACGCTTCCCCCATCTTCTAGACCAAGTTCAATTAATCTTTCATTGAACCTGTTTCTTTTTTCCTTATATCCTAATTTTTTCCTTACACTATTGTCAAATGATATACACTCATGTTTCTCGCTGCACTTCACACAGATCATGCACATGCTTCCCACTTCTCTCATTAGGCTGAATCACCGTGTATTCATGATGTGGGGATGGTCTGTCTTTGTTATTGCTGGATATTTTTTCTTCACTAAGTCCACACATTTTACCTCATGAGGAGAAATTTGTCATCACCACCCCACGCGCATGTAGCCACGTGGGATTCATTTGACATAGCCTTCATTCCAATGTGAATTGTTTTAAGTTTTAATAAATTGTATATTTGTTAAAGTTACTTTACAGAAGTTTTCATGTTATTCTATTTGAGAGAAATGTGTAATGTTTCTTTTATATTGATATACGATTCAGTTTGCCAACCCAGACTTCATGGAATCCATCTCGGATGTTGTTGATGAAGTAATACAGAACTGCCCCATTGATGTGCGGCGTCCACTGTATAAGGTATAAGCTGCCTGGGTAAGGTACTTCCATCTCATTCCGCAACTAAAGGCCCATAATTCTTAGAAGAGGGTATTATTATCTATTACTAGTAGATGTTCCTATTTTACCTTCTGTTTTATAGGATTTATTCAAGACAGTATAATTGTAAGAGAAAACGGAAAATGACTCAATTAACTAGAAGTTTTTTTTTTTTTTTTTTGAGATGGAGTCTTGCTCTGTCGTCTAGGCTGAAGTACAATGGAGCGATCTCGGCTTACTACAACCTCCGCCTCCTGAGTTTAAGCAATTCTCCTGCCTCAGCCTCCTGAGTAGCTAGCTTTACAGGCATGTGCCACCACGCGCAGCTAATTTCTGTATTTTTAATAGAGACAAGGTTTCACCATGTTACCCAGGCTGGTCTTGAACTCCTGAGCTCAGGCAATCCACCTGCCTTGGCCTCCCAAAGTGTTGGGATTACAGGCGTGAGCCACCGCACCCGGCCAACTAGAAGTATTTAAGTATTGTAAATATATTTTATTTTCTGACAAGACATATTTTAAGCTGGACAGTTTTAGCCACACATATTGATTGAAAGTAAGAGTGATACCCTCCCCCATGCTGCCTGTGAGCTCCATTGGTTTCGTTTCATGCATATTTGGGTTTGGTGCCGATGTGCTGTTGTCAGATAGAAGTAGAGCCCAAAATGGGACAGTCAAACAGAATATGCTCATGTATTTTTTTTCAGAGTTCTTTGATTGCAGGGAATTTTGAAACCTGGAATGAGAAAAATCTAGTCTATGTGATTATTGAGTAAAAAGAAATCTCACTGACAGCCAGAGATTGTGAGCAGAAGGAGATGGCCAGTTAGGCTTCCTTCATCTTTAATTAACCTTTGCTTGAGTGAGTCATGCTATCAGCTCTCACTGTCATGACTTCACTCACCTTATTCAGACTCAGGTAGCTGAATTGTAAAGAGGAGGGAATCAGGCTCAACAGAGAGCACTCAGTATTGCTTCACCTATACCCTGGAATACTGTGTAGCTTTATAAAAGAATAGGTGACTCAATATAAATTCACATGAAAAGATAGCTACAGTAATAAGTAAAAAAGCAACTTGTAAAATTTACATATATTTCATTTTATACAAAATATAGTTTGCATAGTTTTTGAATTATGTATGCTAAACTCTTAAGTATCTTTGGGGTGGAATGATGGATAACTTTTACTTTCTTTTTTTTGTGTTTTAAAGTTGTTTGAAATTTTATTGTTAAATTTTTTTTCTGTTTAGATAACTTTTGTGGGTGTATACAAATTATAGGTCAGATTTTACTGCATATTCTTAAACACTTTTCTAATAAAAGGTACAAAGAAAGGGAAACTGAAAAGAGACTGGGGTGTGAAAATTAAGAAAGATAGTATGTTATGTCCTTTCCACTTCTTAAACCCTGCCTGACATTAACTGGGTCTTCTCATCAGTGAAAGCAGGCACCAGGCAAGCACTGTTCAACCTTAATCCCATTGTAAAGCAGAGGAGACTGCCAGCAGTTAAAGATTGCTCCTGATGGGGTGGAAATTTTCTTGTTTGACAGTTTACTTCCCTGGACTTCATAGAAGTTTTGGAGTAGCAGTGGTTTTGGAGATCATGTAGATGGAGCCCCATTATCAGTAGATAATGACACTGAGCCCCAGAGTTGGGAAAAGGTGGTGAAAGGCACCTGGTTACATGCTAGGTGAGATCACAAGGCTGTCAAGTAGCATGGTTGCCTTTTAAGTCAATTTTCCATGTCTTTGAAAACTTATGCTTTTCCCACCATATCACACTGAAAATTATGTAAAACGTGGAGGGAAGAGGACTCTTCTTTTTGTCGCCCACGCTGGAGTGCAGTGGCACGATCACAACTCACTGCAGCCTCGACCTCTCACGCTCAAGCAATCCTCCTGCTTCAGCCTCCCAGGTAGCTACAGGCACATGCCACCATAGCCAGCAAGATTATTCTTCAAAGAGGGAAACCCTGTCCCTGACCATTCTGTCACCAGGATAATAATTTCTTCTCTGTGGCTTTCAGGAGGGTATAGCTTGGCCCTGGCTGCCAAGTTTGTGCATAATAAATCCTGTCCTCCATCAACCATCTTGATTTTTGTATAGGACCTCTCCAGTGTTATGACTGCCTTGCAAGTGATTTGAAATTCAAGTAGGATTGAGAGGTGGAAGGACTGGATGTCCTAGTGTTGGCCATGCTTTCTCCTTTGTCATGTAGCTGAGCTGTATACCCTGTGGAGGGAAATGAGAGACACAAAGGAGGCCACCTCCTTTGCCACCTTTCTAAGTTATAGTCAGAGTAGACCAGAATATGTTAATTGGAAAAATTAAGCCGGAATCTCAGTGTTTAGCAGCAAAGGTTTATTTCTTTGCTCGTGGTTCCTAGCTGGTGTGGTCGGCAGTAGGCTCTGCCACTATGTTGTGGCTGCCCTTCTGGAACACATCACCACAGGTCCCCACTGCTGTGGTGGAGGCAGCTGGCGGGCTGTTCCACCCCTCCTCCACGGCTGTCACATGGTCCAGCCTCCCACCAGCACTGGAAGCCACAAGGGTGGTGTTTGGTGAGCACCACTGCTTCTCCCATAGCCACCAAGAAAGGGGCTTCTTTCTAAAGTGTGGGGCTTGATGACTAGATAGAAGCTTAATATTGAGGCCTAAGAAAGCCCATTTCTGTGTGTTTGCCTGCCAGGTAACAGCTGCTGTAGTTTTTTTTTCCCTGTGGTGATATCAGACCAGGAGTTGGCCAACTTTTTCTGTAAAGGACCAGATGGTGAATCATTTTGGCTCTGCAAGCCGTATGGTCTGTGCTGCATTTATTCAGTTCTGCCAGAGCAGCCGAAGACTGTGTCGAACAACTAGGCGTGGCTGGGTTCCTATAAAGTTTTATTTACAAAAGTGGGAGAGAGCCTGTTGGAGACATGTGAGGAGTTCCTTATGAAAGCCTCATTCTGATACTGTCCAGGTTGGCCTGGGGTCATCATCTGTGGACTCCCCTCAGGCTGTGCGTGTCGAGGCATGGCCTTTGCTAGTTCCTCAGCAATTCCGTACTGTGTTTAGGAAAGACTGTGAAGGGGTCACTGCAGAGCTCTGCTCACAGCTCAGGGTGGAGTCACACACGGCTTGCCCAGGGCTTCTGCTGACTCGGTTTCCGGAAGCTGTCAGCCCCCTCCAGATGGACTCTCACTGTGTGGGATGGAGGAGGGTCCTTCCAGAAGCAGCCTCTTGGAGCAGTGAAGCAGCACTGACAGGGTTTGCTCCTGCTCAGTGCACTCCCTCCTCTGCTCCCTTCTCTAACTCCTTCTACTCCTAAGTGCCCGAAAAGCATCGTCTGTGATAGCAAATGCACAGATCTGTAGGTTTGGGGGTTTTTAAAAATAATTCTAAAACACTCTTCTGGTTAGAAGACATGCCACAGATACTTCTGCAGAGCACACAGTTGCCTTTCTCTGACAGCCAAGCATCCCTGTGTCCTCGGGGTGTACCTTTCCTCTTGGTCTTACTATGCCGCGTCCTTCCCTTCTCTGTCCTTGTTGTTGCTTCCCACCTGCTGGGCCACTCTTGCCGGACGAGACGCCCTCTCTCCAGGAGCGATGGGGCCGATTCCTGACCTCAGCTGCCTGGTTCCACAGCCTCATTTGGGCAGCTGTGCTGGCCACATTGACCAGCAGAGCGGGTGCCCTGAAGATGTGCTTTTGTCATCGGAGGAGGTGGTTGCTCTCCCTCTGCCACACCTGCGTCTCGAGGTGCTCGACTGGACCAGTGGGGCTGGGCTGTTTATGTTTCCTGGACGTTGGTGGGACTGAGCACTGCGAAGCAAGTGGGAGGTGCGCACTTCAGCTTCTGCTGAAACCCTCCTGGCCGCTGTGTTAACGTGTTACTCAGACAGATGAGGAGAGGACAAGAACGAGAAAGTGAGAATGAAAGATGGTTTGGAAAATTTAGAATCTTTTTTCCCCCAGCTTTACTGAAATATAATTTTTATGAGTACTTAGTAGGTATATTATTGAGGTATATTGACAAGTAAGATTTGTGTGTGTGTGTGTGTGTGTGTGTGTGTGTGTGTGTGTGTATGTATATATAAACTTTAAGAGCAGGAAGATTGTGTATATTTAGGGTGCACAGTGTGATGATTTGATACAGTATATACATCGTGGAATGTTTACCACAATCAAGCTAATGCAGACATCCATCACCACACACAGCTACCTTTTTAAATGTGTGCAGTGAGAAGGTGTAAGGTTACTCTCTGAGCGGATTTCCATGACACCGTACACAGTTCCCACTGTATTCAGCATGCTGTGATTAGGCCTGCAGAGCTAGCCATCTTCTAACAAACTTCTAAGTTTGTTCCCTTTGACCAGCATCCCCCCACTCTGCAGTGCCATTCTACTCTTTGCTTCTATGAGTTTGACTAAAAATTCAGAATCTTTAAGCAAGCAAAACAGTATTTTTAGATGAAAGTAGCCATCATCTATCTGATTTTTATTTCAGTCTGACTTGTAGATGAGAAGGGTATTTACACATCTGCTTTATCTGTTCCGCCCCCAGGAATGACAAGATCGAGGGCCTGGGGGAAGCCTCCTTGTGAGAGCAGGTAAAACAAGCTTCACCCATCCTCTTCATCCAGGAGCTGTAAAGTGGACCAGAGTCTGGGTCCCACGCTAGGGGATTCTGATGTAATTGGGCTTGGGCTGGGGGGAGCCTGGGCACCTGGGCCTTAAAAGCTTCCCAGGTGACTCTAATGTGCAGCCAACCTGAGAACTACTGTCAGCACCAGCCCACTCCTGTATCTGCCAGTGTTTAGTAACTTGAACGCTTTACATGAGGGGGAAGCCAATTTGAATCGCTTTGTAATGTGATAGATGTCTTTCTACTTCTCAGTTCTATTCAGGAGGTACTTGAGTACCTGTTAGGTACAAGATGCTATTGTTAAATTATGGGATTTAAGTATGTACAAGATATGGTTCTTGTCTTCAAGAGC